CTTCAAATGTTAAACCTTATAATAATTAGAAATTACAATATCTATCTAAATAGTCATATTTCTTAAGAGAAAGAACATAGAAATGTTCAAAAATTGTCTTTTTTACTAGTGTACTAAACATTTGCAAAGTAACACATTTTTTGCGTAGTATAATTTTTTCTTATCATTTATCTTGCATGGTCAAATACTATTTTCAAATTTATCAGTCAGCAAACTGCAAGGCCTGCATATCAGTGTACCATACATATGGGAATAATGCATAAATGCATAAACATTGTAAATGCCTGGCCATTATACCTCTAATTGGCAGGCCGTGATTGCAGCTAACAATCTATCCGTTCATCCTGGCAATGTGAGTATAAAATAGGTAAGAGAGGACAGGGTTCATGTACATTGCACGCATATTTTTCTGATACTTCTTGGGAACTAGTTTATCAAAACAATAACAAAGATTGTAAACAAATGTCAAGTTTGTTTACAAAATGTTGTTTATTTACCTTAAACAATCTTAATAAGTAAATTGTACTCAAATCCTATCTTCCTACCTTACTTTTATTCACATTGCGTCTATCCACCTATCAATCCTATCTATTTCCCAAAGTTTGATTGACACCACACAATTTCTAAAATTTTGTTCCGCAGTTAGCGGAGAATACAAGAGATATGAGGGATGTGATATGGTTCAGAATTTTCGGAGGGCTAGGTTTGAAAGGTGGAAAAAGAAAGGGATTAAAAAGGGTAAACACGTACATTATAAATAATAGAAAAGAGAAAAACATGTCCACTTTTTCCCTATGTTAAAATAGGAAAATTACTTCTTTTAAAAATTTGTGATATCAACTTTGAATATATGAATTTTTGAATTTCGCGGAATATCGAAGTGGAATTAAATTCTTTTACACAGAAACTGTAAAAGAATTCAGTATAAGTCACAAACCCAAATTTTGGTATCCCTTTTTTTTACAACCTGATGGTGTAAACCTTTGATATTTCAAACTTAGAATATTTGATCTAACAGAATTTCTAGAATTGAAATATCTAAGGTCTATGGCATTGGGTTGTAAAGATATAGAGATTCCAAAGTTAGAGTTTGTGGCAAAAACTTTGCTGTCCTTTTTAGAAAAAGGGATTCTTTACATACATACAAAGGGAAAATAATACACATAATACAGTAATGTTTGAATTTAAAGGGACTGTAAGCGTAATTTCAAGTGACCCTACATGCAAAGATGACCATGCTCGATTTACAACATTACTCTTGAAAACTTTATCTCATCAAAAACGTGGAAGAAACCGTCGTTTTTCTGACTAGGAAAGTGTCAATTTCTGTGAGTTTCTCAATTGCTACTTATAATCAAGGAATGCGCAAGTCACTTTCGCAGAGAAACCGCAAATAATAAAAACAGTTTAAATAAACAAAAAATTAAAAAATATCTAATTTATACTTTATCAGACAAAGCTTTTAATCATACCGTTGTAAATCGGACATTACCATCTCTGCATGGGGAGGGCCACTTGAAATTTCGCTTACAGTCCCTTTAAAATCGCAGCTATGCCCATTTTATCCCTCGTTATTTCTTTCCTGAGGGCCTTAGTTGCATCCTTAGTTAGAATTTGTTTATTATTTTTATTTTCAAATATGTGAACAATCTGTTTAAATTGAATATCTAAGAGGGTGCACACCATGGCATTTGGTGGTTTTAGAATCTCCTGTAATTGAACTGATATATACACAATACTAGTAGACAGGATACTGTCCAGTGCGTAGATAGATAGATAGAAAATAGAAAGATAGATAGATAAATAGATAGAAAGATAGATAGATAAATATATAAATAAATATATAGATTGATAGATAGATAAATAGATAGATAGATAGATAGATAGAATGATAGATAGATAGATAGATAGATAGATAGATAGATAGTATAGATAGATAGATATATAGATAGACAGACAGACAGACAGAAAGATAGCTAGTTAGATAGTAGATAGCTAGCTAGCTAGCTAGCTAGCTAGATAGATGGATAGATAGATAGATAGATAGATATATAGATAGATAGATAGATAAGATAGATAGATATATAGATAGATAGATAGATAGATAGATATAAAAAACAATGAAGGGTTATAATTTAGAAATTAAACTGTTTATTTTAAATTTATCCTACATTAAACTATTAAATCTGCCATGAACTGCACTGCATTGAAGTTACACGCAAAGGATGAGACTTCAGAGACGACTGTACAGTGTACAGTGTAAAGTGCACAGTATACAGTGTACAGTGGACAGTGGACAGTGTACAGTATACAGTATACAGTGTAAAGTGTACAGTATACAGTGTACAGCGTACAGTTTACAGTGTACAATGTACTGCAGTGTACAGTGTACAGTGTACATTGTACAGTGTACAGTATACAGTGAACAATGTAAAGTGTACAGTGTACAGTGTACAGTGTAAAGTGTACAGTGTATATTTATTCTGTCTACTCTCTATGTTTTCACTAAACCAACTTTTATTTTGGCCATTGTACGGCAGTTCACTACAGTTCGCACCAACAGCTTAGTTTAGTAGTTTATGGTAAGTAGCTTAACTAGTTCAGCTACTTCTTGCTATTTATTAATTAATTCCGAATTCTCATTCAAATTTTAAGTTTCCCCCTTGCCAGCTCTTTATATTACATTTATATCTAATCTATGTAGGTTTCCCTGTGAATAAGAGAGAGAACACATTTCAAATTAACAATTTCTTATCTTCACAAACTATCTGATTTTCTATCTTTTTATCTATCTATCTATCTTTCTATCTATCTATCTATCTATCTATCTATCTATCTATCTATCTATCTATCTATCTATCTATCTATCTATCTATCTATCTATCTATCTATCTATCTATCTATCTATCTATCTATCTATCTATCTATCTATCTATCTATCTATCTATCTATCTATCTATCTATCTATCTATCTATCTATCTATCTATCTATCTATCTATCTATCTATCTATCTATCTATCTATCTATCTATCTATCTATCTATCTATCTATCTATCTATCTATCTATCTATCTATCTATCTATCTATCTATCTATCTATCTATCTATCTATCTATCTATCTATCTATCTATCTATCTATCTATCTATCTATCTATCTATCTATCTATCTATCTATCTATCTATCTATCTATCTATCTATCTATCTATCTATCTATCTATCTATCTATCTATCTATCTATCTATCTATCTATCTATCTATCTATCTATCTATCTATCTATCNGTCCAACTTTCAAAACTATCCAACTATCCAACTATCCAACTATCCAACTACAACTATCCAACTTTCAAAACTATCCAAAACTCTATCTGTAAGATCTATGTATATCTATAATCTATTTATATCCCATGGAAGATATCCTGTAGTGTACCCCCACAGGTTTCTAGGATATTTGGCTTGATTTGCCACAATTCAATTATATCCTAATCTCGACGTATCAAATATCAATGACATTATCATTTGTTGTTCCTCAAACGTATCGGGCGCCGCCAACCGTCAGTCCGGGTCAAAATCAGGGCCGGTACACAGGCTCGGCATGCCGTGTCAGGTATGGCGGTCCGGGCCATGCGTAATCTCCGCCCATTCAGATCCATTTAGTGGCTTGATTCCGAGTATAGAGAGAGGCTAGCAAGCCAGTAAACGAATAGTGCTGGAGCTAGTTGGAGGATACCATAGTGATATAATTAATATGCAGGGTTAACACAAATCAAAATTGGTCTCCAGGGACCCTCAGCACATTTTGTAATATTTCCTTCATTTAAAATTTAGGGCCCCATAGGAAAGGTTAAGCTGTAGGGCCCCCAAGATGGATTTGAGTGTGGTCCAACGGTCCACTGAAGAGAATTTGACTGACACAAGACCGAAATTTTCTTTTAGTGTCGCGAGCCTACTCGCTTCAAGGGGCATTCAGTTGAGACCCCCCTCCCCACCCACCTCCCTGAAGGACGAACAGGAGGAGCAGGAGGAGCAAGAGGAGGAGCAGGATGAACAGTATGATGAACAGGACTCTGATATATCTGTAGACGATGAACAGGATCAACAAGATGCGTTAGAACGAAGACTTTCTCCAGGGGGAGCATCCCCTCCTAGGCTAGCCATGCCTACACCCCTGCCAGGGGGCCGCTTTCCAATCCCTCTGTCCCCACACCTTCAGGGGCTTGGTTTGCCCCCTGGTTGGCCAGGATTACTACATACATCCCTCTCTAGTCTAAATACAGGTCTATTTAAATCAGGTAAAAAAAATTATTGCATTTTTTATAAAATGATAAAATTTATGGAAATGTTTAAAAGCATTAATATTTAAATATAGAAATGATTAAAAGTAAATTTTACTTCCAATGTTTCTAACAAGAATTTAAAGAGATTGTAAAAGTGTTGATCTTAATCCCTTTAAAAAGCAAATTAATTTTAATTTTTTAATGTTGTTCCAATATTTGTAAGAAATAGGCTAAAATTTGTCAAACTTGTTTTTCTGCAGAGCTCAGCTAAAGTTTCGCAATTTTGCACAATGCAAACCTAGTAATATCTGCAACAGTATAACAGTTCTCAGAATGAAGCAAAATTCATTACTTTTTCACATTTATAAATAAAATAAAATAAACTTTAATACTTTTATATTTTTACCTTTATGAATAATATTTTGCTAAACATATTTATTGATGCGGTTTAAAATTTGTATTTCCTTTATTAAATAAAGATTTTAATTTATTGACCTAGAAACTGGAATTTATTTTTTTTAATCTTGTGATTGAACGATAAATTGCTTGATATAATTATGTTTTCAAGAATGTTGCAAGATATTGAAAAATAGATTAATGCATTATCGATTTTGCAAAAATTCTAATGAGTTTTTCGATATTTGCCAAAAATTAAGGAATTTGCAAATATTAATCTAATTTTTTTCAGACATGAGATTTAAACCCCCCTCCGGGCCCCTCCGTTGTACCCTGAGAAAACATAAACCGAACCGGAAGCCCCGGACCCCCTTCACCACGCAGCAGTTGAACTCCTTAGAGAAGAAGTTCAGAGAGAAACAATATCTTTCCATAGCAGAGAGAGCAGAATTCTCAAATCATCTTAAACTTACAGAAACTCAAGTCAAAATTTGGTTCCAAAACAGAAGGTACAGAAATCATTTTTAAAGTGATTATAGATTAAAGTTTGGCGATTCACAACGGTACCCTAAAAATTGTAAACAAAGGAATTGAGTCCTTGCCACAAGCTCTGATTTTCTAATCCCTATATCCTTGCAGCTCAATGCCTTTGACATTAGATATTTCAAACTATGAATTCTGTTATAACAAATAGTTTAAGCTTGAAATATCTAAGGTTTACACCATCAGGTTGAAAAGATATAGGAATTAGAAAATTTAAGTTTGTGACAAATACTCAATTCCTTTGTTACAAACAACTCTTGAAAAAAAACCTCAGTGGCTTTTTTTGGTTAAAAACAGGGAAGGAATTGAGTCTTTGTCACAATCTCAAATTTTCTAATCCATTTATAATTTTTCAAATTGATTGTGTAAACCTTTGATTATTTGATCTAACAGAATTCTTAGATCTAAGACATTGGGTTGCTAAGAGAAAGGGATTGGAAAATCAGAGTTTGTGGCAAAAACTTATATTTTTTGATTTATGAACATTCTTGTGAACATTTTTACTTTGTAAAAATATCAATTTTAAGATTTCGCAGATTTTTCTGCTTTTATTGTTGGATTTTCAAACATGATTGGTTTTCGGATAATTTCAATCCAAACTGTTCAATTATTTCTTTTTCAAGCCACAGACACCAATCTTCTCAATTTGAGGTTAAAGTTGGCCAACATTTTGCAAATCGAAAAAAAGAAAACGTCACACTCAATTTGCGAATCAAAATGTGCTGAAACTAAGTTTGCAAATTGTTGTTTGCATTTCTAAAACTAGTTTAACTTTAATGAATATTTTGCTAAACACACCAACCCTCAAAATTAAAGGGTGTCTCAAAAAAAAAGATTGAAAAAATATTGTTATGAAATATAGTATTTTCCTTTCATATAATATTAAATAAAATATCTTAGTTAAAAATTTTATATAATATTAATGGTATAACACTTAAATTTTTTTGTAATACTCTTAAATGTAGAAAGTTGTTACAGAAAGCGATCTCTTTTATTTGTAATAACTAGTTCAATTTTTTTAAATATTCACTGTTTGGGCAGGTGATTATTATACTAGGATTCAGGGGAACAGTTTCTCTATTTTGCCAAAAGCAGTGACGAATTATTAATTTATAAATTATAAACATTTTTTTTCAGAGCTAAGACGAAACGACTTCAAGAATCTGAATTAGAAAGATTAAGATTTGCCTCTGCACCTCTCATGCCTCATCCTTTTGGTATCCCTCCCTCCCTCCTCCCGGGAGCCCTCAATGGATTCCCGCATTTTCCCCCGGTATCCCTCGCCTCCCTCTCACAATCCCTCGCTAATAGCGGACAACGTCTTTAAATATGTGATTTGGAAACTATGACCCTGTACATGACTATATGGGACATTGATGCACCGAACATGACTTTATTTGATGGTTGAACATGTCTACACACTGTGGTTGATCTGACGGCTCTAGACAAGGAAGAAGAGAGATTTGATGATGATTTCGTGCGATATATAAATATAGATCCAAACCACAAACAGTCCCATTCATAAATCATAAAATTGAAATTAAAATAAAGAAGAACCTGATTACTTGCCTCAACCTATAATTTTCTTATTCTTATATTTAGACTTTATATTTTAAAATATCAAATGTTCGAAAGTTGGAAAGATTAGAAAATTACAGTTTAAGGCGGGTAATCAGTTCCTGTATTATCATTTCAAATGTCCTTCTGACACATTTTTTACTTTTGATTATTTTATCCCGATTTGGAGTTTTTTTTTATATCTTTTCATGTTTCACGTCTTTTTTGTATTCATGTTCCGTGGATATTCAAAAACTTAGTTTCATCTGACCCCCCTCCATCAACCCCCCCTCTCATATCTGATAAAAATATCAAATTAAATTGTGTAAATTCACCATCATTGAATAAAATGTGACACTTTCCATTCAACTTCAACATTTTCCGCGGCCATTTTGGAAAGTTGTGAAAAGGCGGGAAATGAAAAACTTTTTCAATTTTTGAATTTTAAATTCTTTAAAGTTCTCTTTGTTGAGCTGTCAGAAGCTGTGACAGCGTGTAATATACTTCATAGATATATCATGTCAGCACTAGCTGTCTGGCTGTCTAGCTGTCTGACTGTCTATTTCTACACCTATCTATGAAAAGCTCACTGCTACAGACTAAACGATAAATAAATATACATGCAGTACATAAAAAGTAAACACAATATTCGTGGAATGTAAACAAATATTCAATTCCGAATTTTCCCCGGATTAGTATCGGACATGTAATTACTAATATTTAGTGATATAACCCAATTTAGTTAATTTATAATAAATTTTATACCAAACATTTTTTAAAGTTTTTTATCTTAAACTTAATTATTTCATTTTTTCATTGTACACTAATTTACGTAAACAATTTTATGGAATTTTATCGGATTTTTTGTCCTTTTTAGTTTAAAGAGCTTTTTTTATTGAAAAGTAATATTCCACATATTAAAGTAATATTAAGTTTTTTTCCTTGAATCAAAAAGTTTTTTTCTAACTATTAATGAAAAGAGTTTAAATCTTGAATAAAACGAGATTTGTTTCTTTACTAAACTATTTGGACATATAAATTTTCTCTTAAAAGTTTGACAAACTCAACTTAGAATTTCCAAACCATTCTTTAAACACTTCCTTGGTTTTAGTAACAATTTGAGGCAAATCGGTCCAGGGGTTCATGAATTATGATTAGATGCACTTTTCTTTTCTTGAAAAAAGTACTTTTTAACAATGGTCTTTTAAATTTGGAAGAATAAATTTTTTTTATTTTAAATTACATTTGATAATTTTGTTCAGTTTCTCTGAACAAAACAATAGTTCCGTTATGTAGCTTAATAATATTAACTGGCTGTCTCTAAGCGTTGCAAATTATAACATTAAATCTATTTAATTGGTTCCTTCGTCTAATTTAAATGATCATAAAACTGTTAAAATTACGTTAAAGTGTAATAATTAGGGTTGAGGGGTCAACTACCCCCCCCCCCCCGACCTAGTTTACAGTCTGACAAAATACTTGAATTGAGAGATTAAATTCTCAGTTTAGACATATTTTCAAGGACTTGGCCCTTGATTTGATCCTATTCCGAGGCTAGAATTAATGCCAATTTTTTGCTTTATTTTCGGTCCCTAATTTAGTTTTCGTGTGGAGTGTTGAGTGTCTGTAATTAGGCTTCGTAGAGGGGTCATTACGCGCCGCATTTCTCTCAAACATAGAACAGGGATTTAGTAGAGTTGTTTTCTTCCCAGCATAGAACAGGGATTTAGTAGAGCTGTTTTCCTCCAGCATAGAACGGGGATTTGGTAGACCTGTTTTCCTCCAGCATAGAACGGGGATTTGGTAGAGATGTATCCTCCCAGCATAGAACAGGGATTTAGTAGAGATGTTTTCCTCCAGCATAGAACAGGAATATATGAGACAGTTGAGATTCACTACTCTTTTATCTCTTCTCTATAATTGGGATGTAACTAAGATATTATCTCCTCTACTACTACTCTACTACTCTATTATCTCCTTTCTATGGTTGCAGTCGCAGATTCACTACAATATTATCTCTTCTCTATGGTTTAGATATCACTGCTCTATTATCTCATCTTTATGGTTTCAGAACCGCTGTTCTATGTTCTCTCATCTCTATGGTTGGGATATCACTACTTTAGTATCTCCTCTCTGTGGTTGGGATATCACTGCTCTATTATCTCCACTCTATTGTTGGGATTTCACTACTCTTTTATCTCCTCTCTATGGTTTAGATATCACTGCTCTATTTTCTCATCTTTATGGTTTCAGAACCACTGCTCTATGTTCTCTCATCTCTTTTGTTGGGATATCACTTCTCTAATATCTCCTCTCTATGGTTTAGATATCACTTCTATATTATCTCCTTTATATGGTTTATTTTTCACTACTCTTTAATCTCCTCTCTATGGATGGGATATCACTGCTCTAATATCTCCTTTACATGGTTTATTTATCACTACTCTATTATCTACTTTCTATTGTTGGGATATCACTACTCTATTATCTCCTCTCTATAGTTACAGAATCACTGCTCTATGTTCTATCCTCTCTATGGCGTGTTGGTTCAGTTTTATGGTAATTTAAAATATATCAAAATATAAATATGGTTTGCACATTGCACAGTGCAAACTCTTAATATTTAGACAATTATCGATTAAAATTAATTTAGTTTAAATCCATATTCTGAATTGGAAAATTAATTAGTAGTTAATCTAAAATGGTTTTGCATTAAAAACTGAAATATGTTTTTTTTGCAATCCGATCTTTTACCAAACTGAAAAAATTAAAATCAAAATCTCAAAATTATTATTTGGATGAATCGACACATAGAATAAAAAATCATTTACTAGAATATGAGAACTATTTGTTACAATATGAGAACATTTTGTAAGATATAGGATAACTATTTTTTACAATATTAGAATATTTTGTAAGAATATGAGAACATTTTGTTAGAATATGAGAACATTTAGTTAGAAAATGAGAACATTTTGTTAGAAAATGAGAACATTTTGTTAGAAAATGAGAACATTTTGTTAGAATATGAGAACATTTTGTTAGAATATGAGAACATTTTGTTAGAAAATGAGAACATTTTGTAGGAATATGAGAACATTTTGTTGGAATATGAGAACATTTTGTTGGAATATAAGAACATTTTGTTAGAAAATGAGAACATTTTGTTAGAATATGAGAAAATTATGTTAGAATATGAGAACAATTTTTGAGATAATCCTCTAAGGAATTGTACAACTAAACATTTGTTGTTATATCCCTAACATTTTGTTCTCTTATTTTAAAAACAATATTCCTAATTTCGATTTTTTCAATTCCTTGCATAACTCATGAACTCGGTAGAACCATACAAAGAAAAACGAAATATCAATAACTCAATTTCCAGTTTGTTATCAAAGTCTTTCTATTATTTTGTTCTGCTCAAGATCAGTTAAAAGTCATATACCCCAACGTTTTCTGTTGCACCATTGTCTTAAAAACTTGAACATGGGTAACCAGTTTTATATAAAACTAGCCTTCTCAATTAATTGTGAACATGTTCTCTTTGTATACATCGTAAAACAAAACAAAAATAATTCGCGGATTTTCACAAAATATTTCGTGGATTTTCAAAATTTTCAAAAATTTAATGAAGATCGAATTTTGATGGAGACAAATATTTGAAATTTTGATCATTCATAAACCTTCCATGTGGTGACGTGATGTCCCACAAAAAATTTGGGCCCGATCGGTTCAGCCGTTTTGACGTTTATTGGATACAAACAGACAGACAAACAAACAAACAAACAGACAGACAAGCCAAATTTATATATAGTTGGTCAAGTAATGATGCAAAAATCCTTCATGCAGTTTTGGCCAAGATGTCTTTGAAACCCATAGCTTTGCATCTTATAGATTTTTATATCCAGGGCTAAAGCAAAGTATGATTTAATTAGGTAAAATCAAAGGGAGGACGGTGTTATTATTTGGTGAACAAAGTTCATATCTGTGATGTAGATCCCTGAGAGAGATGAATTTATAAATGATTAAATAAGATCATGATATAATAATCTTTACCAAATGAATTTCTACGAATTTGCTGAAATTATTGAATGTTTTAATGTTTGAGGGACATGTAAAATAAGGATTTAATCCTCTGCACCCACACACTTTCTTATCTATCTATCTTTCTATCTCAATCCTATTAGTATAGGGGAGCTAGCTAGCGTATCAAACTATCTTAATCTCCAGAGCTAACAATTTATCTTATCTATTTCTAATTCTATCTTTATCCTATTAATATAGGGAAGCTAGCAAGCGTATCAAACTATCTTAATCTCCCTAGCTAACTATTTATCTTATCTATCTATCTTTCTATCTCTATCCTATTAATATAGGGAAGCTAGCTAGCGTATCAAACTATCTTAATCTCCAGAGCTAACAATTTATCTTACCTATTTCTAATTCTATCTTTATCCTATTAATATAGGGAAGCTAGCTAGCGTATCAAACTATCTTAATCTCACTAGCTAACTATTTATCTTATCTATCTATTCTTCCATCTTCATCTTATTAATATAGGGGAGCTAGCTAGCGTATCAGACTATCTTAATCTCCCTAGCTAACAATTTATCTTATCTATCTATTCTTCTATCTTTATCCTTTTAATATAGGGGAGCTAGCTAGTTAGCTCGTCAAACTATCTTAATCTCCAGAGATATCTTTTAATCTTATCTATATGGATGGCTATCTATCTGAATTTAGTATCTCCATAACTCAAGTAAATCGGTATTTATCAAATAACCTATCGATATCTATCTTCTTATATGTGTAAAATCTACATTACCTATCTTATACCCGGCCATCTACCATCTACCTGTCTATCCATCTATCAGTCTATCTTATCTATATATCTACATATCTACCTATATAAGTACCTTACTATATATTTATATCTACCTTTGTCCGAATTTAATGAATTTGAGCCACGTCTCAAATCCCCCAAAAACCGGTTTAATTGACCGCCGGCTTAAATATTGAAAAATTTAATACAAATTTAAGTAAAACCAACCATATTTGAGCCACGGCTTAAATTTAAACCGCGACTCAAATTCTTTAAATTCGGCCTCTTGTCTGCCAATCTACCTGTAACTGCATATCTACCACATATCTATTTAAATACCTGCAAATAAATTTACCTATTGACCTCTATCTGTGTATCTGTATATTTTCTAACTGTCTGTCTTCCTATATACCTTTCGATATATCTGTCTATCTATCTACCTGTCTAGCTATCTCTGTATCTACCTACCTATCGATATATATGTCTCCCTATCTACCTATTGATATATTTGTCTACCTACCTACCTATCTACCTTTCTACCTGTCTATCTATCTCTGAATCTACCTATGATATATTTAGTCTACTCTAACAAGGTGAGAATAAACCCCTTATCTTCCTAATCATGTTCCAGGAGTATCAATTCAAATAAAACTTGTAGAGTTAAGGCATTTCCATGCCTCCAAGTGAATTTTAATCATTTTTGAAGGTTAAAAAGTTGGATTTGTATTTGCTTTCTTAATATTTTTGTTTGCTCTGTAAATTAATGCTGGGATATATCTCTCTGTAGAACTTTTATGTCCTCCAAGATAATCCAATTCTTTCGGTTCGGACCCAATTTCCTAAATTGATTTTCGTTTAAATATCAATTAAAGGCGGGGATACAGGGTTCAAGAGTTTCTGGGTTCTAGCCATAGAGCTATAGTGCTACAAGAGGGAGGATTA